AGAGGCAGAACTGCTGTTGTAGCTACATGCAGTTACCACAACCACCCAGATGCTCTTACTGATCATGTAAAATATTGTTTTCTCCTGAAACAGGCTTAAAGTTATCTTTTGATCTCTACTATTTTCTGCAGTCTTCCAGTCGTAGTCGTTGCACATCTGAGACAGAAAATGTGCCATTGTCTGAGCGATAATGAAACACTAAACACGTGGAAATCCTATTAGTGTTTCATGGACCGTAGCTGTCATTTCATTTGCTCTGGAATTCCTTCCATATGGCCATGACAAAGGTTTAAGGTTGAGTTTTCTTGACACTTTGAATGCATTAGCTGTTCCTCAGACAAAAGTCTGTCAAGTATACTGAAGCATCTGAAGGGATGTATTTATTTCTGTAAGTAATATATTAAATAGAATTAGGGTCAGTAAGCTTGGTCTTGAGAGATAAAAACATGACACTAGAATTTTGTGGAGTCTTCTTTCCTGGTGAATGTTAGACAAATGTTTCTGGTTTTTGTAAATTTATCTTTTTCTGCTTCTGTTTTTTGTATCTTCTTACTCTAAATGACACTGCCCCAACTCTCTTTTGCAGCTATAATTTTTCAAAAGTATTGCAATTCATTTTTTCATGTATAAGTATGCACAAAGTGTTAGGATTAACTTACCATAATAGTAAACTATATGGCTGGCATAATTTCTATGAGTGAATGAGACAGTCGTCTGTGTATTTCTTGTGTAATAGAAAAGCAAACTGAGATGTTATTACACTTGTTAGTTTTCATCCTTACTCATGGTCACGTTTATCATTCTTGTCTGCATTTTTTTGTTAAATTGATCATTGCATGATTTTTTGAGATTAAGTTATAGGAACTGCATATTTTTGCATCAGATTATCAGATAAAATATGTCTTTTTGTGTCCAATATACATATGTGACATAGGTAAGAACTGACTGGAGGCAGTGTCAGTGTTACCCACAATACACGATATGCACTTGTGGGCACTGTGGGCAGTTTTTGTACATCTTATTAGTTCCTGTTTTCTTCCATTTGTGCTTTCTATCTTCGAAATTCCCAGTGATACAGTACCAATTTTTGCCCATATATAATCCAGTTTAGTTGCTATGTTGGACTGTCAAGGTTCTGCAACAAGAAGAGAAATGTATATGTTCTTGAAAGTATCAAAAAAGGACCATTCGTTTAGAGGTTTGGTAATGATCAGAAACAGATAAATTCAGGAAAATGGTAAAAATCAGGGATGGTTTCTAATAATAAGAAAAGAAAATGGTTTCCAGGATCTGAATGTAATCCATATAATTGGAACAAAGTGAAGAGGGGAAAAAAATTATGTGTAAATTTATTTTATACTCAGACCTGAAAGTTTTTACTATTTTATTAACAAAGACCTTAGGAATTCTTCTTTCAAAGTTTTCATCATTAATTTGGTTATGAGTTACAGTGGCAGAGCTGCAATTCTGCTAGTTTAAGAAATCAGCATTATTCATACTGACATCCAATGCAGAGATTTTTGCCCCATACATTGTTAATGTCTGTTGGAAGAATGTCTGTTAAAGTCTGTTGGAAGAATGCTTTTAATGGCTAATGATCTTGTAGCTATGTGCAGACATCACTGATAACTATTGTGGCAGCAACCAAGAACAGTGAGATGCTTTTAGTTTCCAAGTACTCTTGGAGTTTTCTAATTGGTGTATTAAAATCTGTGGTCCCTTGTGTCCTAGTCAGGGTGAACTGCAAATTGTTCAGGGAAGTGTATTTTCTGGTATTACAATGGCTATGGGAAAAGTATTTTGCTTGTCTAATTCAGAGATTAATTCTTGCATTTTTCATTTAAGTATCTTTCACTTATAAAAAGTCATATATCTTTTGAGAGTTATCTGTTCAAGGAACATGAACATTTTTACTAGAAAAGTAATTTCCTAGCACTGTTGCAATTTTTCCCCCGTAGTTCTTCCGTCTTTATTTTGGCACTTTCATCTATGTTCACCAGTTTCCTTATATTGTTTTTCTGCCAGGGCCTGCAATTGCACAGTTAAATTTGTGCGAGATTTGCTTATAGCTATTTTGTATCCATTAAGAGATCCTATCTTTCTCTCAGCTTAATGTATTTTTTGTCTTTCACACAAAGCCATGTCATTTTATGAAACAGTGGCACAGAAACTAATTCATATGCTTTTTAATTTGCTCTTGTGAATTGTGATCTGGTAAATAGTGACAAGGCAAACCTGGAATTTATGCAGTCTGAGTTAAGTCATGTAATCATACATGTTTATAAACATAATTGTGTTATTTCTTGCATTTCTGCTTTACGAGTTAATTTGTAAATCAGTTTAATATTTAGATTTAAATTAGATGAAAACATTTCTGCGTTGTCCACTCACTTATCACAAATTTCTTTATATTTCCGAAGTCTAGGTGCCACAATGAGTAGATTAGAAACACCATTTGCACGGTTTTGTTTTCAGTGATACTCAACTTCAAGCATAGCAGTTGCTGTTGCTTTTGTAAATTTTAGGTGTCTTTTAAAGCTGGATCTGAGGCCTCTGGAATGTGAGGGGCAAGTTAAAGCCTTTACACTTTAGGACCAAGATGCAAGGAGTTGAGGGTGTAAGGATGGCAGTGTCTGTATTTTGAAATAACATTACAGGAGAAGCTACGCTTCCTTCTTTCACCTTCTGTGAAAGTAATTGTCAAATACATTGTTCAATGTCATTACATTAGCAATATTTATGAAACTGTTATCAAAAGAGGATGAAGAATAAAAGTAGCATCATTTTTGGTGTTCTGAAAACATTTATGTGGTTCCTTAACCCATGATGAAACACAGAACAAAATAGATACATGCTTTGAAAACAAGGTCCACATAGGGATTTATATTTAATTTCACATAATCCACTCTTCTCCTTTATGAAAAAATGAGTTTTTAGATTTCAGAGGGGCAGATATTTCTCTGAAGACACACAAATGAATAAAATCAAAATGGAACTTCACATGCCAACCTGTAATTCACAAGAAAGTTACCTGCCAAGGGAGTGGTTGTAGCTGAGGGAGGAGCCCCTTTGACTTCTCCAAATTGTTTGGCAAATCCTGCAGCCAACAGAAGTGCTAAACTTAAAGTGGTGAGTGGGTCTTAGCTGACTGACGTGTAAGTGGGTGTTATAAAGTTCCTCATAATTCCCAGAGATTTAAAATCAAGTAAATACAAAACTGTTGCAACACCTTAGCTAGAGACCCATGATCACTTTTCATTTAACTGCTTTCATATTTTGTTACCCATTCTTTCTAACAAGTTATCCTTAAAACTTCTTTGTTCTTGTGCAATCCAAAGCAAATTGTTCCTTGCAGAACTATTTCTTTTATGTAATGTGTAGAATATGAAATGTAAATAATATTTTACTCTCACTTAATTAATATGTTAAGACTTAACTAAAGAAAATGTCTCCATTGATTTTCCTTTGCATATGATTCCCTTTACAATTCTGAACCTAAAGTTGTAGGGGTGCCTTGGAGTTTTTTCATGTGTGGAGGAAAATTGTTCCATAGCCACTGGCTGTCCTTCCAAAGTGGTGCAAATAGAAGGGGGATGGGGGGCGGGAAATCAATGCACCCAAATAAGATTATCTGCTTGTACTGTTAGGACACAGACATAGTCCTATTCAAAGATGTAGAATGTAGCACAGGTTATTACAGCAACCCAAATGAATTTTGGTAATGTAAATATTGGTGGGAAATGACTGTGGTCCTATTCATACTGCATTCAAACAAAGGTAAAAGCATCTCAGTCTGGATTAAATAAAATGCTGTCTGTTTTTAATGTTGTTTGGCTAGCCAGTGAAAACCTTAGCATTTTGACCTGTTTGAAAGGCAGGTTCTAGTGGACAATAGGAGGTGTTTATCCAGTATGGTATGTCAGTGTTTGCTCTGATCAATGCTAGCTGGGCATGTTGTGACAGAAACCCCTTTTTTCTGCATTCAGGCATAAACACTGTTTGCAAATTTATTTCAAAGAACATTTTATTTGGCTAAGTTTTGGGTCTTGATGTGATCATCTGTCCTGAACATTGTTTCTCATTGTCCTGAAAATAATTATTTCCAGCATTTTCTGGGCAAAACAGAAAACAAAGAACTCCTAGATAGAACAGGCACCTTTTCTGTATTACTTCTCTGTTGATTTTGTCTTCATTTAATAGACCATATTTTCTTGAGTACCTCGAAATATTTCTCGTCACTTGCCCTCAAAACTGACCTGCTGACCTGAGAATCAAGAAAATGTCATGTTAGTGACTACTAATTAGTGGATCCAGAGAGTTGCTTCTCCTGGCCTTTCAACCTTCCAGAGGCAGCAACAAAAGCTGTCACATGTATCATACAAAGAAAATAAGCATTTGCCATGTGTGCATTTTGTTTTCTTTCTTCATAGACTGTACATAGCACAAATTCAATTGAGACTAGAGGTGAATTTGTAGGTTAGGAGGAAATTAGCCTAGAATATAGTGTTTGCATTTATTTCTCTATTTCCATGCATAACATAATGCATATATTGTCCAGCACTTATTGGACATGTGTGAATGTATTAGTACGCTGCATTGTAAGAAAGGGAGAAGAATTAAACCCGTCCCTGATTTCTTTTTTTCTGTCCCTACCAATTTCTCCCTGATTTTTTTTTCTGTCCCTACCATTATTTTTTATTTTGATTAGTTCGAAGTATATTGCATCTTTCTGAAAGGAGATATTTTAAAGCTTAGTTTTTAATATAAAGCATATAGTCCATGCTTAAGCTGGTTTCTATGTTTGTTGAAAGAACAGGTTAACAGAAGATTCAGCCATATTTAGCATTAATCACTGTTGTACTTTTGCAACTCATGAGGCACATTGGGTTTTTTGGGACTACTTAGAAGAATGACTGTGGTAAAATGTGCAGTCACAACCATGTCACTGAACTGTTTGTGCAAGTAACATTACCCTCTTTTTTATTATTTATAATTTTCAGGTCTTTAAAATAGAAGTGCTGGTGAGTGGAAGGAAACATTTTGTGGAGAAGAGGTATAGTGAATTCCATGCACTTCATAAAAAGGTACTGATCTTTTGCTTTATAATATGTTGCTTTGTTTTGTGTCACTGATGTTTTCCTCTCTCTTGTAATTGTGGTTTTCCTCTCTCTTGTATATGGTTTATCATAAATACATCCTGTGATTCATCCATCTGGAAATTAATTCCTAACTAACTCAATTTCTTCTTTGTTTTGTAGAAGGGAGTGATGATTTCTCACATTTACTAAGTGAGAAATCTCCTTTTCTTTTTGATTATTGTTTACATGCCGTATGGCTAAAATGCTGTCTGTAGTATGTTTTTGTCTTCTGGTAAAGTCACAAAATAAATCCCATGCCAGCCACGAATAGAGTGTTTTTTTCCCAGTTAGGCAAATAATTTGTTAGATCTATACATTTTGTTGCTAACCTGCCAACTGTAAAGATGAGGAAACAACTTTTGTACATGGGAAAACCAGATACGAAAATGAGCAAGTAAATCATCTCAATTAATGTAATATAAAATAAATGCTAAGCTTGTCTACTGAATCATCTCAGTAACATATAGAAGGGAGCTTGGTGCTTTCAAGGGTGGTTATCCACTAATACTTCTGTAAATTGCTTTGACCATTGTTTGTTAAAGTATGAATTTTTCTCTCCAAGCTGAACTGAAAGACTGCTGTGCAGCTGAAAGGCATGCTTTATTTTTTTTCTCTACTTAATGGAGGCCAGGTATTGTGAAGGAGAATTCTGGAGGAGCATTGCAGCCCATTACCAGCAGTGGGACTGTACTGAAGAGCTTCAGTCCTAGGATCTGGGTCAACTAAGCGTCTCTTGGTTTGTAGATCTGAGTGGCAGTGGAGTGTGGGCACAATCAGCTACTTTGATGCTGCTTGCCTTCATTGTGGAAGAGCTTCCTCTGCAAACAACAGAGATCACCATGGGTATTTACAGCTCCTGCCAGTGCAACTTCAGAGGAGTTTATTTCCACCATTATGTTTGCTGGTGGTTCTGAATTAGCTCAGGAAAGAAGCATTAACCTGAGGATGATTTTGCCAGGCTTGTAAGGTGTATAGGTTTAAGCAAACTTGTCTGAGCAAAAGGCAACTATTGACCCATCAAAATCTAAAGACAAGACCCATTTGTTTTACTGCACCATAATTAAGATGTGCTAGTGCTTCTTGCCTATTTGCTTCTTGCCTCAGTAGTTGTATCATCTGCCATTTATTAATACTCATTTCCTTGTTTATTGTTTTACTATAGATATGTCTCAGATATTGTCATTCTTGTGTTCATATTAAATATGAAACCAAATCAGCAAGTGTCAGACACAGTAAAATAAGTCACTCAACAACCACCACGCTTTGTGATATATGAGTGCTTTGTTTTACAGATGAAAATAATTCTGCAGTTGAAGGTAAAGCAGAGGAATAGAATTTATACAGTGAAATAGGCTAGGGCATATTAAGAGGGAAAAATCAGGATTTATATCCTTAAAATGTGCCCTATCCAAGTAGGCAGTCTCCTATTGTTAGAATAGTATAGTGTTGCTGCCGCTTGGGGCGTGGCATCCTGGGTCGAGGACGGCTCGGTGGCAGCACCTGTGCCACACGGACCACCTTCGTCACATGGACACACCAAGTGGTGGACAGTGAAATGGCGTTTGTTAATGGTTGGACAGGGTCATTTATAGCAGGGGCTAACGGTAAAGTAACCATAAAAGGGGAGGGGTTCCGCCTGAGCGTAACATCGTGATATCTTCCCACATTTCCCCCCCTTTTATGACCATCAAAAATCGTAGAAAATGCTAAGGTTAAAACTGACAAGTGGGAAACATATAACTGGCAAAATGCACGGAACTTGAATAATGTAACACAACCGAAACAAACTTGTAACTGTAAATGTTTAACAAACAAAAAGCTAACAATCTCTAACTGTTTTTTTCTAAAAAACAACACAAAGTTGTTTAAAATACAAGGTGATCAGTCATGGGGGCTGACTGAACCATGACTTTGGATATCTTCACAGGACCTCCTCAGTTTTTTGGTTGACATCAGAGCACCGAATTATCCTCCCAGAGTCTACAACCTGTTTGACCTTAAAACGAGAGAGATTTGGAGAGCTCATGTCCAGACTCATGTTCTCTCCAAAACGTCCTTTGAACCTTTGATGCAGGAAAAACTCCAGGTTGATTGGCATTCCATTCAAGTAGAGCCAGAACCCGGCCAGAGTTCAAACTCTACTTGATGGATACCACTTAAAACAAGACTTTCAAAAACAACATTTATGTGAACCATGACTGATAACATTTTGTTGAGCTTTTTCCCCCAGTCCTTCTCTGTGCCAGCCTCTCCTTTAGTTTGGTCACTGAGTTCTTTCACGACCCTGGCATGGTCTGCCATCAGGCTGCTTGACGATCACAGCCTTTAGGAAGATATGGGCCGTGGGGGTGTCTGAGGATTCAGTCCTGCAAAACAAACTTTACAAATTTCATTAGTTTTTGCCCTGAAGGTCCGGTTTTATCGACTTAAGCGGGCACCATTTTAATTTTACTATTTTTTCTAACGGCTGCGTACCCTCGCCCTGTGAGTACTAGCCTCCAACCCGTTTCCCATTCTCCTAATTCATTTTTGATCATGACTTATGGGCCTTCCTCTAGTGGCCCCGCATGGCCCAGTGCCTCTGGGCAGTACTTTTTGTTTCATCTCCCCTGGGGAACTGATTTAAAGCCAGTAGGGTGGTTGCTAGGATGTGCGCTTGGTCTTTTGGCGGGATGGAATTGGTAAAACCTTCTGTTTTCGCTAGCACCTCCAGTCTAGTCATTAGGGTTTGGTTAGCCCGTTCGACAATAGCCTGTCCGGTGCTATTATACGGGATGCCGTGGACTAAAGTTATACCCCATCTTGATGCGAACGTTTGGACTGATTTTGAAATGAAACTCGGACCATTACCTGTCTTGATTTGCCTCGAGATACCAAGCCATGCCATGGCCGTTAACCAATGATGGATAGTTGCTTTGGAGTCGGTCCTTTGGTGTTGTGTGGCCACGATTACTCCACTGTAGGTGTCCACTGTTACCGCAAGCCATGCTCGGGGTTTCAGCAGCTGGCATAATGTAGAAATTGTTTGCCATATTTCGGCGGCCTTGAGGCCCCTGGGGTTGATGCCGCTGGACCACAGTGGTGATTTTTGGCAGTAGGGGCATGAGGCAAGGATGTGCTTCGCATCAGCGGCTGAGATCCCACATTTCTTTGCAAGCGCTTTGGCCCTGATGTGTCTGCTTGATATCAAATGGGAGCATGTCATCCCCTCCAAAAACACTGTCAATGAGAGTAGAGACCATCGCCGAAATAATCCCCCTGTCTGCAATCGCTTTGACAATTGCCTGTATGTCCTTGGCGTTCACAGGCGTATAGGTTCTTTGATTTCCGCCTGGCCCCCCACCCGGACGGGAAATGCTAACTTGGCTGAAGGGGCCCACTTGGCACACGCTATTTTTTTTCTCCTCCAGTCCATAAGAGGAGCTTGTTCTTTTCCTAGTTTTCCCTTGACCCAAGGAGGAGGATTGTGATGGCTTACGTGCTCCCACCTTACGTGCTCCCACCTTACGTGCTCCCACTCCCTTTTTGTCTGAATCAGAATCATCAGAATAAGAGTCAGGATCAGCAATGGACCACCTGCGGAACCACTCATCCCAGCTCGAGTCCGACTCGGTCCGGGAACTTGACTGGCTGGAGACTTCTGGGCTCCAGGACCTTTGGGAGCTGTGAAGAACGTCCCCGCGGCTGTAAATCCCCACACTCGGAAAACTCATGATTGCCCACTGTCTAAAGGTCCCTTGTTCGATCCCGGGTTTCGGCACCACTTGTTGCTGCCGCTTGGGGCGTGGTGTCCCGGGTCGAGGACAGCTCGATGGCAGCACCTTTGCCACATGGACCAAGCACACGCACACACCAAGTGGTGGACGGTGAAATGGCATTTATTAACGGTTGGACAGGGTAATTTATAGCAGGGGCTAACGGTAAAGTAACCATAAAAGGGGAGGGGTTCCGCCTGAGTGTAACATCGTGATATCTTGTGCATAACATCATGATATCTTCCCACAGTATAGTACTGTATAATGTAATGTAGTACAGAATTAGAATTATAATTGAATATTTTCAGTTGGAAAAGATGTACAATTATATAGTCAAACTGCCTAAGCAATGCAGAGATGACCAGAAATTATAGCATTATATTAAGGGCATCGTTCAAATGTCCCTGACAGGCCTGGGACATCCACCACCTCTTAAAGATCTTCTTTCAGTGTTTGATCATCCTCTTGGTAAAGAAATGTTCACTCTGAACCTCGCCTGGCACAGCTATGAGCCATTCCCACATGTCCTGTTACTGGATCCCAGGGAGAAATGCTCAGCACCTTCGGCTCCACTTCCCCTCCTCAGGAAGTAATGACATCATCCCTCATCATACTTTTCTCCAAACTAAGCAAACTCAGTGTCCTCAACCACTTGGCATCTATCTGCTGAGCACCTACATGAGGGTCCTTTGCAAGCAGAGGAGAAGAAATGCCAGCACCAAGGCTGGATATGGAAAAGGGAGAAGAAAGCCTGTGGTTGTGGACAGAAGCCTTTCCCAGGCTGCTCACCATTGGGGCAGCTGTGCAGCTGTTCCTTCACAGGGGCAGGACTTTATAATTCCCCTTCTTGGGCTCCTGCTGTGGCAGGGGATGACTCTGGCATGGTGTAGAGTCAAATTGTGAGTCCAAGCAGCACCAAATTGTGACTCCAGGCAAGAGGAGAGATTTGGGTGCCACTGTAGGAAGGCTGCCCCAGGCATTGCAGGCTGGTAGGAGAGCAGAGCCCAGGGACATGGAGCAGAAGGTACAGAGAAGAGGAAACAGGCCTGGAGTGATGAGCAGTGGGGTCATGGGCTGGGTCTGGAGACCCCAATCTGGGAACACCTGTTCCAGGATCAGCTGGGCAGTGCTTGCATGTAGAGGAGCAATGATACAGTACTTGACACAAGTAGAAGGAGCCATCAGGATTAACATTCCATCCTACCTGGCAAAAAAGAGTGAGGACAGAATCTATACTGTTAATAACACTGAGACTTTCCCTATAGATTTGTGCATTTATTTTATTTCAAGAGTTGGAGCTGGGAGCTTTTAAGAGCTGACACATACCACCAGTTTTAACCATGTTCCAAGGCATCTTCCAACATCATGGTGCTGGGCTCTTGTTTGCTGGAGAGGCCTTGGGGGTCTTTTTCCCTTCTCTTTAGGAGTTGCTGTGACTCTGCAGGGGAGCATTTACTGTGCCATTTGGAAGTGGCATCCCTGGGCACAGCCTTCCCTGACTCAGCCAGGGGCCCTTCTTACTCTGTAGAATGGCAATGGAAGCCCAGGGGTGGCTGCCAGGATCCCCACCAGCAGCAGTGGAGGAGGTGCCTTTCTACTGCTGCATTGCACAGCGACACACGCACACTGCTGCACAAATGTCACTATGCAGTTTTGGAGGGACACCCCAGCATCCAGGCCAGCAGCTCTGCATTCATCCTGTGTTTGGTTGGGATGGTTGTGATGGTGTCTTCCACCATGGCTCATCCAACACTGTTGCCAAATATCTCCATGCCATGATGGATCCATGGTTGCAGTGTCTGGAGGAGCATACTGTGGTTCTGAAAGTAGTTCAATGAGCACACAGAGGCTGGATGCCATCCACAGGACACCTGAGCACTCCTTCTTGAAGTCCACCTTTGTGGTGCTCCAGGATGATGGATGTCCCAGAGCCACACCCACCTGGTGGATGACTCGTGTCATTGGGGTGTGGTGACATGCTCCAAGCAGTCATCATCCAGCTGAAATGATTGTAAGACCGACAATATCCTCCTCTTGCAGAGGGGGTACTTGGGCTTGTCCTCAGCCCATTGCAGGATGGACATGTAACAGAACTGGTGGAGGGTCCACATCACATAACTGGCATTCTCCCAGCTAGCCAGAGAGATGGGACAGCAGGTCCAACTTCAGTGTAATTTCTGGAGCTGCACAATTACTCCATGTAAAAGTCGTGGATGGCCACAGTCTCACTCAGATTTGTCCTCTTGTACACCATTTTCACTGCAATAACTCCTTTTGCAGAGATTTCTTATAACACCAGAAAAACCATAAATGATGCCCCCTTTCTTTCTCTGCAGAAGTAGCAGCAAAATAAACAAATCTGAAAAATAGATATTCTAACCAGGCACTTTGCACCACATTTCACTTCGTTTTGTTTTCTTATTCACTTGCTATTTATATTACTCTGCAAAGGAATAGAGACTTTTCCTTATTTGTTCCCTGCACAGATGCAAAACATACATCATATTTTTGCAACAATATATGTTTTCAATAAGTATTACTTTTTGAAGTTGTAAAATTTTGGTTAGTATTGTTGAACAGCTCATACTCTGAACCTTAGTGCTTTCAGTGTTACAAAAATCCTAGAGAAAGTATTTGCATCAGTTTGCTATCAGCATGCCAGTATGGTCTTTATCCTCCTCGCTTTCCCTTTAATTTGAAATGTATGTTTCATTCTAAATTCCTGCGAGTACATGGCAATTGGAAAGGTCTCTTTAGACTTGCTGCATATTCAAGGTGCCCTTAATGTTGGAGATGTCTGTAGATAGGAGAAACAAAGTTTCAGTAGAGAGCACCTGTGGTAGAAAATGGACGTAGAGGCTGATGAGGAGATTGTGCCTTTTGCTGGAGAACAGTGTGCCTCACTGGCATTGTGGGGAGGAAGGAGGACTGTTGCTCTTAGAAGACATTATTCATTCATCAGAATGCCAATCAATGTTTTGATTAATTACATTTTTTAAACAAAGCTGTTTCCAAGAACACGTCTGGATTTCTGTCTTGGGTTCAATCTTTCATAGATTCCAGTTGTATAAGAAAGTAAAGCCCCACTTCCTGTGTAATCTGGCTGTAGTGGAAAAGGTTTAAAATATTTTCAAGACTTCCATGTTACACCAGGAGTACAATTTATACTTTTCACAGAAACGACCCACAGATGTTGGCTTCTATGAAATAGCTTGCATAGACCATTATGCTTTGCCTTGATTATGAACAACAAACCTTGCCTGTCAGGCTATGCACCATACCCATTACAGTATTATATATGTCTGAACAGAAGTTTTATTATTCTCATTTGGAAAGTTTTTAGCAAGAATTAAATTATTTCTAGGTGTATAACATAGTTTAAAATACAACCATTTGTTCATATTTATCCCCAAATATCTTTTTATACTTCTTTCCCCATAAGTTAATAAATATTGGTAGTTCTTTTTAAATATAATTATGCTAGAAGGTCACAATGTTAAAACTACTGCAGTGAAATTTGCAAAAAACTGAAGAGTAAAACATATTTTTTTTGCAAGTTGTCTATAATTTTAGAGTAACTAGTGTATACTCTACATCATATTGTCTTTTCATAATTGGACAAATAACTCTTTACTTGATCATGTTCACCATCTTTAGGTCTTTCAGGAAATAGAGACTACAGCATGTCCATGGGCATTAGGTCAGTGTTACAGACAGGAAGGTACTGTGGCCAGTAATAGTCCTCAGATAAATATGTTTTGTTTTGTGTTGGAACAAGTCTGAAGCAATACAGCTAATGCATACATAGTTTTGCTTAATGTTCCTTGACATTGTTATAATTTTTTATAGCAATATATATGACTGGATTATTGTAAGCATAAGAAAATGGGCTTTTAGTATATCTTTTGTATATGTATATGTATATCTGTATAATGTTGGCTTCGTACTTACAACCAGTATCTATGCCAGCACATTAAATAGTTGGGGTTTGGATGTTTTATATGTAACAGGGCCACAGAGCACAAGGGGATTGTTAATCACCAGCTGAGTTACCAGCCACAGAGTATTTGTCTTGTAAGCAGCTAGGTCTTGGTGGACGCTTGTATATTTTCAGATTTGTCTGCACTCATCTGGAGCGTTCTTCTCATTTGTTGCTCGCTTGCAGGTGCTGTCATAGTTCGCAACAGTGGTGACCGTAGTTTCTTCAACATCCCCAATCAATTTAGAGGGAAAAATGGGGGGTTGTATTCTGTTTTTAAGATCAGCTAGTAAACGTAGCTGGATTTGGAGTTTTATTTTCAAGTTGTTTTTCTCACTTCACTTTTAATTGTAATTTAGCGCTGTTAAGAAATAAGGAAGTTGCAAAATATTTCCAGAGCAATTGAGGTTTCCCGGCTGCAGCTTCGATACTTGTGATTGCAGAGACGTTGATACGTTGCCACTGCTTTTTCCTATAGTGACATCCCAGCAAGCTCAAAGATGAAATGTAAATTCTCAGTCTCCCATGGGTATGCATGTCAAAGTCAATTTTGAGTTTCTTTCCTTGCATTCTTTGCTTCAGATTTACTCAGAGGCAATATCCAACAGAAAGAATGCCAGCTTCTATTAAAATGCAATAGAGTCTATTTCAGTTATTATTTTTGCTCTGTACTTTTGAGTAAAACATTAATATTTTTTGATTTTAAAAATATGTTGCTCCAGCAAGGGGATTTTTAGTGTTGTCAGGTTGCATGTTTTTGTCTTTGTATATACTATCATATGTATACATATATAAATATATATATATGTGTGTGTGTGTATAGATCTATATAGATACACGTTATGTATAGATCTATGTAGATACATGTGTAAGGTTTCCCGCGGGAATCTTTAGAGGAATAGTTATGGAGCTGTCTTTGAAATATAATCAGTGACAATCTTGCTGTTTCTCTGTGTAAGATATTAAACACAGACTGTCAATCTCTTGGTACACTTTAAGAGCATCAATATTTTTCTCTCTTGATTGCAAGCTCTCTAGAGAAATGGTTAGCACTCTTCCTTGTACTTTTCACACCTGTTTATAATTGCCTAAGTCTGGAATTAAAAGCCATCATCGTGTGTTCACTGCACTTAGCAAGGTAATTTCTGGTTATGTCATGGTAATGTTGTGAGGTATTGTCCCAGGTAGACTAATGGGAAAATCTAATTTCAAATATTGTCATGTAGTGGTTGCCATTTCATTTTCAGGCTATTAGTCACAAATAATTGCTAGTAGGGTTCCTCTTTACTATCCAAGGCAACTGGATGTGAAGATCTTTAACCACATTCTGTAGGTATGACAGCTGTTATTATTTCAGGGAGATGATTGTAAGTAACTTCATTTCCATGCTGTTGTCCTTAATACATAGGTTTTTATGCTCTTTTTTTTTTCTTTTTCTTTTTTTCTTTCTGTCTTTCTTTCTTGCAGCTCAAGAAGTTCATAAGAACACCAGAGATTCCTTCAAAGCACGTGAGAAACTGGGTCCCCAAGGTCCTGGAGCAGCGACGACAAGGCTTGGAGTTGTACTTGCAGGTGTGTCTCCTTGCAGCCTGCTGAAAGTAAAAGCAGCATCTATTTCCACAGCATTAGAAAGTAGGAAGTGTGGCATTTTACTGATAGGCAGTTTTAGAAGTGGGAAGTAATCTGTATACTTACCAGCAGCAGTGATTTCTGTTCACTTAGCAGAACTACCAGCTAGAAATCCAGACTGTTTTGCATTTTTTTTCCTGATTTTTCCAAAGGCTGCTCATTGACTTTGGTGAACCTTCATTTTTGTCTGCCTAAAATGGGGAAAATAATGTTATTATTTCCAAAGAATATATTCTTTGTTCTGTCTATACCAATCAAAAATGTTGCAGAAAAACTATAAGGAGGCTTTAATTAGCTCACCTCCATTTACACAGACTAGGGAAGCATCAGCTCATTAAATTCATATCACTCTGCTGTACATGCCTGTATATGAACTGTTCCTCTAGGTGAAATAGGCACCTGTCATCTCATATTAATCTCAGTTGGTTTGGACATTTGCCTTAAGTCTTAGGATCTACCTAGATGGGTCATGATTTTGATAAAGACAATAAAAGGAGTCTTCAGGAATGATGCAATTGTATAGACGTCTAAATATATCAGGAATAAATCCCATTGATTTTTAATAAATGGAATTTCTATTGTCACCATGATTGCTTTAAAAAATGTCCTGTGGTGTACATTCACAGCTGTTTCTCTGGTGGCAAAGCCAGATGAAGGTGTTCCTCTAAACATGTTCCCAGTTCACTGCGCTTTCAGCTATACTAATCCAAGTGCTGTTTTACTGAAAGGGTTAATAGAAATAATGTGTCAAAACATAATTGTTTTGAGGGGAAGGCAAGAATAAGTCTTCTATTTCTACTCACATTGGCCTCTTGCAGTGAATTTTTGGTTTTTCTGTTTCCATACACCTTTCTTTTGGACATAATCACTACCAAAGCACACGTACTAGTTAGTCTTAAGCAGCTGATTTCATTAAAAAGGTAGAGATGTAATCTGGTTATCACTTTTAATTGCTGATAAACTGTAAAAGAACATCTCCCCCTACTGGAAGAGTTAGTAAATTCTTGTTCTTTTCCAGTCTTGCATGTTTAATTAACTCTTCCTCTATTCTATTGCTGTTGGCTGTCATAGGAACATGCTGTGGTTTAGGTTGGAAGGGACTGCTGGGCATCATCTGTTTAAAAACATGACAAGCCTCTAAGTTGTATGCATACCAATGTGCATACTAATTTAAACAAGAAGAAAAGTTGTTAATACTTTTGTCATAGTAATTAATTTCTGTGCCCATTAGTAGAAAGCAGAATTAATCATCAGTGAAATTTTAACATTTAAGATAATTAGAGCCTGGTTCTAGACAATAAAAATTTCATAGTAAGGCACTTCAGTTATGAAGTTATGAGACATTTTTTAATAGTGCCAAGCATTTGCCAAAGCACAGTGTAGAAATATACTACAATTTCAGAAAATGTGATCAGTTTTTTATTTAACACCATTTTTGTAAAATATTGCAAACATGTTTTCAGGTGGTACTACTGACAGTTTATCTGTAGGAGTTGTTTGGCTACTACTGTCACTAGTCAGTGGTGGTGCTTGTAGGCAGACATTTGTGCAGCAGATAAACTTTTATGACGACATGCCAGTCATTAATTGTTTTGTATAAAACCAGCCAGAACGATATGCAAATCCTGAGCTATTACATAGATGTAATGTTCAATGAATTCATACCATGCAGATGGCCATCGAATACAGACCTGTACCTGAAAAGGTCTTATCATATTGAGTTCTTATGATATTTTCAACTAAATAGTTGTCTGTAATTAAATGCAAATAAAAAAAATTGACATGAAATGAGGGTAGTAGAATCATTCTCTATAAGTAATAAAGAAAGCAAGACATTCCTCTGTCTAAGACAGAAGGTGCTTCAGTTGCCAGGACCTTGTTACTTTTTGTGACCTTTTCATGATGAAACCGCCCTTTTAAATCCTTTCAGTGCAAGTTGTTTGTTTCTTGGAGTGGATGGACAGGAGCTCAGAAACATTTCATTATATCTTTCTGAAGAGCAGCAAAATTACAAATACATGAAGTATTATTAAATTGTGAGCTACAAGGAGTATTTATTTATTATTTTTTAATGTATCAGTAGCCACTGGCAGCTAATTGTCACAAGACTGGTTATTTTACTTCTGTTTTTGAAAGGTTGCGTCAGGACTTTTTCTTGTTATAGTAGACCAATTTTAATAGAATTTTGAAAGAATGATTTATCTACACTATTTTTAAGTAAGACTTTTGTATTTTGCAAGTTTGACTGGAATGTGCTACTTTTGTTTTTTATACTGTGAAACAATTGACTAGAGCACTAATATGCTTAGTAATTCAACTGCATGTATAATAATATTTACAGAGTCCTTGTGAATACTGAGAACAATCAACTTACTGACAAGAGGAAAGAAGGATTGTGTTTAATTTATTAATGAGGAAACAGATGCAAAGATAAGTGAATGACAGATTGTGGCCCCAAACATTAAAGCAAATTAGTATGAAGAAATAAGCTATTACTACTTTGTTTATCATGGTAAATGTCTCTGCGCATGAGCTTAAACTACAGCACAAAGCACTTAAACTGAGCTGATTTATACTTTGCTAAATAAGAAAATCACAGAATCTGAGAATAAACTGAATTGGAAGGGACTCACAAGGACCAATGAGTCCAACTCCTGGCCCTGCACAGCAGAGCCCCAGGAGTCACCCCATGTGCCCAAGAGCACTTGGTCCAAACACTTCTTGAGCTCTGTCAGGCTGGTGGTGTGACCACTGCCCTGGGGAGCCTGTTCAGTGCCCAGCCACCCTCTGGATGAAGAACTTTTCCTGATATCAAACCTAAATCTCCTTTGAGAGAGAAGAGATCAGTGCCTACCCCTCCTCTTCCCCTCCTGAGGATGTTGAAAATGATGCCTCCCCTTGGTCTCCTTTGAATCTCAAAACACCTGTTACTGTCAGTAGAAGAGTACTTAACCAGCTTTTACTACCTTGTAATGGCCATTGACTAAGTAACTTTATAGTTACTTACTTGTATATCTGAGTTTGTAGCTTGCAGTACAGCAGAGATGAGAATCCAGGTGGTTTTGATTTTAAATTTGTAAAATAAATCACTGGGTTACACTATTGCTCACAAAAATCTGTCTTGATAGTAGTTTTAGTATGCAGTAAGATTTGGACTTTATATTTATTTATGGTTAGAAATATCTTCTCTTGATGAGCTTCATGAGGAGCTTCGTGTTGAAGAAAGGTAGAAGATAAGGATTTCAAGCAGCTGGTTGTATAAGGCGCCTATAATTTGAGAAAGGCTGCCTAAGGGATCTGCCCTGAAAGCCTGTGACTGCTCATAGTAGTGAGTGTAGATAAATGTATTTGCTTTAAAGTACCACAAGGTGAAGGTAAGTGTGGAAGATGATGAAGCAGGCTGATAACCAGCATTGTAGCTTCTGGATGGTGTTTGTTTGGTTTGGGTTTTTTTCATCCACTGTCCAGTCTTGGACTGACTGTTATCACAAATACAGAAATATAATTTGGTTTTTATGTGTATTTAAATAAGATATAAATCACTTGAAAACTCCCACAGTTTTACTGTGTCTGAGTTCAGTAAGTCATTTTGTAGATGGATCAAATGAACAGGTAGTTGGGGTCTTATTTTGAATGTTGAGGGGTGACGCTGGAGGGACCTCATCTAACTGGCTATCAGAGCAGCTGCAGCTGCTTTGGATCAGATCAGTATTTGTTACAAATACATTTTATATTATATACTATTGGAGGAGCAGTTTTTACAGAGCTTATTTCCTGTGAATTGGTAATGGGGAAGAATTTGATCCAGCCACCTGCTCATTTGGAGTTAGGTCATATCCTTGTCCCAGTAAGCTGACACTGGATGTTATTGCCATCCAGTCTGTCTACCCCAGGGACTTGCCCTTTGACAGGTCTGCCTTTTAAAGTTCAATGGAATAGATATTTTCAACCCCCTTGGGCTAAAGAAATCTCATCATTTGCTGATATCATCAGTCCAACAAGATAACAAGCATCGTTAACAGAATTCACTTTGAAGTGGCACCCACACCTCAGCAGGAGACTTGATAGCTGCTGCTGGTCTTCACTGAAATAATTTGCTTATAGGGAGAGATTTTGAAGGAGGCCCATATTTTTTATTAGAGTACTAATTCATTTCATGTGGTCTGGGTGACCTGAAGAAATTCTTCTTGTGACTAGCAAGGCTCTAATATAAAGCAGAGTTGTAGACCTTCTAAAGTTCTCTGTATAAATGTATAAATGTAGGGTCTCTATGTACATATGTCTCTAACCAGAGTTAATATGTAGAGCTAATATTCCTCTCTCGGCTGAGGTCAAGAAAACATACTTGCCTTTTATTTATTCTTGAACTTTTTACAAAGAGAACAGTCCTGATTCCTGGAGATAAGATTGGTTAAAGTGCTCCTTGGCTGTGAGACATGAAGACTTGATGAACTTCAACATTCCAGTAGTTTCAGGAATCCAAATCTTAAAAATGAATTATGGCATTTATGAAACTAGACTAGAGATTTGTTTTCCATTTAAGGAAATAATCTGGAGATCTGAGAAGCACTTTGACCTATATTTCAGTATTCTTCAGAATGCAATTATCTTTAAAAATATTTTAACTACCAGTCTTTCCTGAAAACCATAAGTAAAACCATATCTGTTATAATTTTTCTTTTAAGAAATTAAAATCCAATTCTATACTCCTTAGCTGTCTTAGTTTCCAGCAGGGTGGAGTTAGGAAAACAGTGGATGTAATAATGTAATGAATAATGTGTAGTTGCTTTATGAGTAAGCTCATCAGAAATATAAAGAAGAAAAGTACACATTATTATATTGCTTTTTTTTACTCTTTTTGGGGGAACAGTTCAACTGCAATTGCAAAAAATGAGGACAAATGAGCTATTTCTGTAGTTAGTTAGACTGCAGAGCACAAACTG